GATTGCTCGGTACCTCTGCCAGATACTCATGTTCCTGGCGACTTCGGTTCATAATGTTTTGGTCGGTGTTTGGGGGTTATTTTGGGTGCGTGTGCTAGTTGCTTTTTGCTCTCCGGGACTGACTGGCATCCCATTGGTTACTTGTATCGCTCGTACCATCATCTGATGTCATACCATGCAAGCACCCTTCAGGTCGTGGGCCGTATGTACTCGGATCGGATGGTTTTCTCAAAGGGTCCGTCGGCGTTTCCGTGTATCTCGTGCTTGTCCTGCATGCATACCGCAGGATGATAATCCCAACCATTACACCCAAAGATCAGCGGTCTCTCATGCTGCAGCCCGTGGTTCTTGATGTCTGCATCATCAGCTCTGCCGTCTGATTCAGTCTCACGGTCGCTGAAGGCCTCGAAGGAGCTGCCCTTCCGACGCGCTCACTCGGCTGATCCCGCCCTGTCGCAAGGCGATCCGCGAGCTTTGGCCTGGTAGAGCTGCTGCGCCTCTCCGCTATCGAATCGATAGGCATGGCAGATTTCGATAGACAAGCATAGAATGCAGACACAGATGTCCTCCGTGTAGGCGACATCGGATTAGAGGTGCTTGAGGCTTTCAGGGTTATTTTTACAGCTGAAGAGCGGGTCCATAGCTAGAGTAGGAGACGCCACTGGGGGGGATGGCGTAGGATGATCACCGTTCGGCTTGACCCTTCGAGAAGCCCTACCGAAGGAGTCAGCGTGCCAGCGCTGTGTGTCTCGTAGATCATAGCAAAGATATACAAAGTGTGCCTGGGAATCTTTTGCATCGTGGCCTGGGGTAGTCAAGCTTATCCTTCCCGTCAAAATCGCCTACCGAGCCCCACAGCAGACGGGACCCTTTGTGCAGCGCGCCTATCCGACCGTGGCCAGAAGCGCATGTGATGCAGATGCATTGTCGCACAACCTCAGCAAGACAGCTACGAAGGCCATCGCTTGGTCTTGTTCCCGCGAGCCACCGCTCCAAGCCCTGCTGTGCGGTCTAGTCCGGTGTCGCTCCTCGCTGTACAGTGCCAGCGCGCACGCAGTCTCGTCCCCCATCTTCTCCGCTCGCTCGCCTTGCCGCATCTCTCCACCTCGACAACCCCAGAGCCCCAAGCGTTCCCGATTCACCACCACCGCCCGCCGACTGCCACCTCCACGTGCCTGCCACTGCATCCTCGGTCGCGCCTTCCTCGTCGCCGCGCCATAGCTATCGTTGCGCGTATGCGCCGATTCGGAAGCGACCTCTTCCTCGACCCGGGCCAGGCTGCACCAAGCCATGGAGCACTTCAACACCAACACCATGTCGTACATACCGCTCCAGACCGTCACCGGCCCCGACCAGCAGATGGCCATGCCGCTGCCGCTCCAGTATGACCAGCGCTCAAACTTCGACGCCGAGACCTTCATTGGGTAGGTGCAGTGCGCGACACCTGCCTGACAGCTACTGACATGTTTGCGCAGAAGCGAGGACGCCTACTCGACATACCACCTCCAGCAGATGCCCCCGCAGCTCAAGCGCTACCCCAGCACATACGAAGACCCCTTCTCCGACGTCCAGAGCGGCTACGAGCAGTCGATACACCCACACGATCAGAATGGCGTGCCTGAGAGCCCCAGCATCGAGAGCAACAACAAGCTCCTCAGCTTCTCGCTACCCGTCGTACCGTATACCATCCTCACATATGCCATGCAAAGGGTATCAATATCCATGTCTGCACAGCTACATGGCATGTTCTTTCTGGCCGAATCGCCCTGGGCAACCGCAGCCGATGTACAGGCGCCGTCTGAATTGACTTGCTACCGGAGGAACCTCTTTCAGATCACCGGCACCATCACGATTCCTCGGAGTCTGCAGTTCCTTATGACCGACCAAGGCGATCAAATACCGATTCTTGGCCAGGAACTCACCATATCCGCAACCGAGTCACTCGAGGGCAATCCCGTAAAGATAATATCGGTCCCGTGGAAGACGCCGGCAACGGGTAGCACATCCACCGAAGACAAAACTGAGAAGGAGCCACCGACATACCCACTCGATCTGTCGACCGGGCAGGACATGGACTCGGAGTATGTTAGTTTCCCTATAAGTTGGAAGCGACTGCAGTTCCGGATCGCGACTGCAAACAATGGGCGGAGGAAGGAGCTTCAACAACACTTTGTCGTGCGATTGAAGGTGATAGCAACCCTTGCCAGTGGCGTCAAAGTACCAATATGCGAAGTACACTCTGGTGCAATTATCGTGCGAGGAAGAAGCCCGCGCAACTTCCAGGCCCGCAAGGACCTGCCCATCAGTGGCGGTTCAACAGCACGCAAAGTGCACACTCCGCAGCAACCCAGCAGAACGCCAACTGGCGACACGAACCAGAATACACCGAAGCAAACACCCAACCCACCTGCGACATCGTCCAAGCCCATGGACTTACTCCAGATGCCATTTGAGTTCACTGCAAACGAAATGCCGCCCTCTCCAGACTTTGACTGGAAGATACCAGCAGGCGCCATGACAGCGATACCTCCCGATCCGCCTTCATCCCAACTCCAACACGCCACACCCTACGCCCAATCGACACCCGAGATCTCACGAAGCGTGCCCCCGCATCGCGCATCTATAGCCCCCGTCACCCTCTCCCTCACCGACGATGAGCCTCAAAAAGCACCGTCACCCAACGACCACCAAAGAAAACGCGCGACACCTATGCGACCCCCGTCCTTTTCCATCGGCATCATCAACAGTCCAGATGAGAGTGCTGATCTCCTCTATGAATACTTCCCGCTTGGTCTGGACGACTGGATGCCGCCCGTTGATGCTGTTTATCGTCCGCATGTTGTTCACCATATCACGCCCTTTCCGCAGGACTCCAAGGCAGATGCAGGGAAGAGTCGGTCGAAGAGGTACTTTTCGGATGCTTGGGGTTGAGAGTTGTTGTTGTGGGTTCTTTTTCTTTGTTATGATACCCTTTGCGTTGATTCGTTCGGATCATTTTGTAATACTTTTACGAGGAAAAGAATGGTTGTTGGTTTAAAGAGTTATATCCAGGTACGGAAGAGTCTTGGGTTGGGAACTTTAGGTTGTTGAGTAAGAGAAGGCAGGTAGAAAGCTGGACGTAAACCTGCGCCACGGACTGGGCGTTCACCTTACCATCATGGCACTCCGTGATTGATATTTGAATTGTGCTGTGCCGTCATGACAGGGTGAATGCACAGTCCGTAGCACGACATCTTCTAGCCTACCGTCACATCTCTTGGACCTTGTACGACGGCGATATTTACCCCTTCTCGGCACGTTATTACTATACCATTCTGTTCTCATGTCACATTACTCCCAACTGTATCCATATCCACGTATTCATCACACATCTCCTGATGTTCACTCGGCCTTTCATCCCTCGCGGCACTTTCCCACTGGCGCAACGTCACCTCATACATGCCGTCTCCCTGTCGCTTACTCACTATGAGCAGACACGATACACAACATCCACACCGCAGGAATGTAACGATAGCAACCCCATCAGCACCTCGTCAGGGATCGGCGAGGTAGTAGACTACGACCTTCCCTATCGAAGAAACATGACATCTACATGGCATATGTCACATCGCAACGCACCCACAACCCCAGATCTACCGACCTCGCCGACGTGGTTGTAGTTACAGACATGCATCTAAACCACGCACTGCAACGCCACCGTTACCGTTACCGTTACTCTACTTACAACTCTACTGCAACTTACCACTCCACGCGCATCCACCCCTCATCGTTGCCGACGTCGTCTTGCCTCGTGCCGCACCGTGATATCACCGAGGCTTGGTTTTCGACCGAGTTCGGGGTTGATCGTTGACATTGACATTGACGTTGACGTTGGCGTTGATGTTGGGGTAAGGATTGGAGTAGGATTGGGGTGAGGGGTGTGGAGGAGTGGAGGAGTGTAACAGTAGCATTACATTGCATATGCCAATCCCCATTACCAACTTTACTACCACTACCATCGTTATCAGCGGAAGAAATGCGTCTTCCGACCGGCCGAACATGTACCGTGAGAAATGCCGAAGATACAATCCCGAGACTTCCGTGAGAGGCGGGATGTTGTGTGATAGATAGATGGCGTTTATCACGATGTAGCATTCGGCTTACAATTACAAAGTTGGTTCGATAGCGCATGCTACCAAACCCTCTCTTCCTACTACGCCCGTAAAAGGGTAACAACTAGCAACCTCGGGAAGTGGGTCCAGCATCCTTCTGAACTATTGCGCAATTTCACAGTTTGCAGATTTTCGCAGTAACGAGTACCCACCACGTGGCTTATCGTATCTCATTCTCATTACCTTAGATTCCCACTATGTACAGTACCCCTACATCCACATCCTCCTATCTACGTTATACGCTCTAGAATCCTTTTTTCGGTTTTCTTCGGTTGGCGGAGACTCGGTACCGAGTTGGGTTTGGTCTGGTTTTGGTTTGCCCCGTTTTTGCTTGACAGGGGTTGGAGACGCGGTATTGGAAGGTGGGTAGGAGGCGCGGCGGTGCGTTGTGGGTAAGGTACCTAGGTAGGAGTGGGCTTGCGTTTGGTGGGAAGATAGGGGTGGAGGTGAATTACGTACGATTATCGTATTTGGGTGTTCTAGAAGGACGGGTGCCGGTTTGTGGTGTTGTCTGGATTTGGTGGTTGAACGCGTTGTTGCTCGTATGCTCTTCCGTCTGTTCTTGGGAAGAAGGTTGCATCACGTGTCTAGCATGAAGATGAGAAGAATGTAGATTAGAACATGTTTCATTAGGTCGTGCGCAAGCTCGAAAGCATGCGATGCCATAGAACCCAAATACGCCAAAAGGGAACCGTGTAATGAAGCTCCCCGTATGCTCTTCGTAAACGTCTCCATGCTGGGCTGTAAAGTGTTTCTAGATTGGAAGAAGAGAAGGAAAGAAGATCTTGAGAATGTATGTACAATGATGTTGCTAGAAGGGTATGAAGTCAAAATGCTTTCGCGTTATGTTCACTGTCCTTCGAGACAGCAGACAGAAACAGCTGCACCGTAGATAGCCGACTCAACCGCAATCTCCAACGAAACTGAATTTGGTTCCGCCCCAGATGCAGCAGTCAACTCGTGAAGGTGCGACTGGCACAGCTCTCTGAAACAGGGATACTTTTCAATGACAGAGCCGTTGCAACCAATGCTCATCCGACCAGCGGATGCAGGAGTCAAGCCCTCAGACTCCGTTCTAAGCGTCCATAATGCATGAATACCCGTTGCGAGGAAAGCGGCTGCGCGATGCGAAACGAGTTGCGAGACCTGGCGGACGAATTGGATGTCGTTGTAGGTGGGTGGCTTGCTGAGAGGGTGTTTAGACTGGAAGAGGGCGGTGGCGCCGCTCAAATTTTTGGAGTCGTCCATCTCCATGGCGGCGATGGTGCCAGTGTCGAGGGTGTAGGTCTCAGCCAGTTGATCGGGGATTTCTCCGCTGAACAGTCCGGCTTTTTGAACGGCCTCTACTAGGATCAATCGAACGATCTCTCCGATATATCGACCACTGATCATGTGCTCGAAAGGTTGGAAGTCGGGTCGCATGTGCGCGTCGTTTAGCTGGTCGTCCCATCTTGTTGTTGGGAAGACACCTTTGCCGAACATGCTACACTCGGTGTTGACGAGCACGTGAGTAGCCTCATCTAGCCATTGCTGTGGGTAGCCCTTGTACTTGGTAGTCGCAAGTGATGAGATGGGCAGGTGCACAGATATGTTAAACCCAGTCCCTAAGATTACGGCAAAACGCGTCGAAGGGTCTTCGTAGGCACGTGATAGTAGGGTTGCTGATGAGTCGTTGATGATGGAGTCCATGTGTACGGGCAGACCCTTGAAGGCGTTAGTGATTGCAAATACTGGGTTGATGACGGAGTCTTACCCTCTTTCTGCATGGTGCCATGATCAACTCGCTCAAATCTTGACCAAGAACACCCTCTGTCGCAAGGAACCCTTTTCCCATGGCTAGTAGATTTGCGCTTCGACTAGATGTTTGCCTGGAAACAGTCAGTCAATGCAATACCACATACGTTGCGGTAACATACTCAACAGGAAATGACCATGCCAGACCCATAGGAAAGCTCCTCGTGTCGGTGGAATTTTGCAGAAGAGGATCTGCAAGCGCATCCTGAATCTTCTCGGCCATCCACTCAAAGAAGTCGTTGCCTCTTCTTTGCCTGACCTTCTCGTCGATCTTGTAGCTCTTCATGACAACGATGCGCATGTTCTTGGCATCAGGTTGCCTACCATTCAGCTCCACCAGTGCAATCCGGAACGTTGAGCCGCCGACATCGAGAGCCAAATATGTCCCCTTTTCGAATCCGGAGGGAAGCTTGTGGTTGTATGAGGGCAGCATACAGATATCGCTCGACTGCAACTTGGGGGCGAACTGCGCCTGCAGCCTCGTAGACATGTCCAGCATCTTGGCAGTTGCGAGTGGTGCCTCTAACAGGCGTTGAATCTCGCGAAGTAGGTCGTCCATTGTGCGGTCGTAAGTCCTGAGTCCATCCCGTACACGTCGCCGTGAAGTTGATGACGGGAGCACAGAGTGCAGAAGCGACGGTAGCATGGTGATTCTGTCGAGAGCTGCGAGAAGCCCTTCCCAGAAATCAAGCATGAATTGTTTGTACCAGCAACGATTGTTGTTTTCGATTGACGCTTGATGCAAGTCACGAGAGTTGTTTGACTCTGGAACGAGGGTGACGCGGCCGCTCTTGCGCTTGAGTCGAAGAGGTGGCATGGAGGGGCACGGGGAGTCCGGCAGACGGTGACGATGGTATGACTTGCGAACGAATGTTGTTTGTAGACGCTCTATTAAATTGCAAATGTCCAGCGAGAGTGTTCAAAGTCTGAAAATGTCGTAGTGAACGGAGACTAGACGCGGGCCGGGAGCATTAGTGAACCGATGTCGCAAAAGGCTCTTAAGCATAGTTGTATGGCTTGTCAGAACATCAAAGAGGTTGTATCCACTAGCGAACGTAGTTAGGTATTGCTCCGGGGACTGGTATGCGAGGCCTGCTGCTGGGGCACGGCAGGCAAGCACGTATGGGCGATCGCGGGGGCCAAAGGGGAAAGGGAAACAGGGAAGGAAGCCGCAAAGGCCTGATGTATTGGCGGTGGGCGGCAGTCAACAGCGTGTCGCTGGCGCCAGGCACGCTGGATGGATATGCGGAAACATGGCGTTGCTGGCATGTCGAGGGTTGGTGGGGTCTCGTAGAAGTTTGACGAGCGGCCATTGCTACGGTACGGTTACATCTGCTGGGCGGCGACGTCCACTAGCGCATTGGGACGCGAATCCTGCCGTAAGCGTTTACGATGGGACTTCGGTGGACGACTTAGCCGCGGTATGATTCAACCATATTGCAGGCTTTATGCGCCGGTGGCGATCATCGCAGAGCTTCACGTGGGCTCCAAACGGAGCAGCCAGTAAGACCAGACGGCGTTTGATGCATGACGAGCGGAGAGCACGTGCCTCCCGCTGTCTAGTGCCAAGGCTCGATCAGATCTGACTAGCAACTTCGCGGCCGTTGAGTCTCTGAATATTTTCAACCCCAATGGAGAGTTCAACATTAAAGATAGTCTACATAGCGCTTACTCAGCGCACTTAGGCTTCCTGCATGATAGCTGCTCGAGCATCACGGGAATAGATGACACCACATACCTACCTACCTAGCGCCCCTGCTGCACGACTCCGTTGTAACCGTCACTTACCTCGTGGCTCTCCTCGGCATGTCGATCCCGCGAGGGTGGATTTGAGAACTCGTGAGGCCCCGTTGAAACATCGTATCCGGAGAGGGCGTGGGTCGCGGTCTAGCAGGTCTATTATCAGGCGTCCTGGGCAGTGGCAACCTCGGTCCGGCTCGGTGACAGATGCATCGTAAGGCTTGGTAGTCTGGAAGGGGCTATCAGCTGTCGGTAGAGTTAGTCCCGTGATAGTTTTGATACGATAGGGGATGTGTAGGGCAAATGATTGTCTCGGAGGAGGATTGGGTTCTTGCGGCGCATACGTGTCAGGTCGTGTTGGGGCGTAGTTCGCTGACCTTGTCCTGCGCATTCCACTGGTCCTCCAAATTCTTCGGTAACAGACGCTCGGTACTTTGTTGGTTTTCGTTGGATGTCAGCGAGATGAAACGGCTGTTGTGTACCACGCCGCCCACGCCGTCCACGCTGTGACTGTGCCACATCCACACTGCATACCCTTGCACCAGCAATCAACTTTGAGCATGTGAATAATGAAAGTAGATGTTCATTCGTTAGGAACATCGGGAATTGCTGTTCGTAGCACTATCACGAAACGACCCTATTCCCGCCATGCAACTCGGGCCCAGGTATCATAAACTAACAAGTACCGCTGAAGAACACCGTCATTACCCATGAAGTCCCGATCATGAAAAACCGTGCAAAGACCTGACTAGACCTTCTCGGCGTCACCAGGCGTTGAATGAACAACCGCCTTGGGGGCGACTTCCGCCACTGTCTCGTCGGTGAAAGCAATGTCCTTCTCGATCGCAACGGTGTCCTCAACCTTCCAGAGAATGACCGGAAGAGCAACGACTAGACTGCCTGCGAGCAGTCCCCAGTTGCTAGCAAACATGGTCATGAAGGGAATCTTGGTGTCGTCCAAACGCCATGTGATGGCACCTCCAGCCGACTGGATACCCTTGTAGAAACCAGCAAAGTTGGCGAGCTTGCGGCTGTTGTTGGTCAGAGCACCCATGAACCTGGCGTTTGTTAGCATTACGACCTAGACATGTTGGAGCTTGTTTGGAACTTACCAGTAGACTGATGTTTGCCAGGCAGCATCGGAGAATCCGTAGAACATGTAGAGGACAAAGGGGCCGGCGTAACCTGCGTCAGACCAGTCTTTCTTCTCGTTTGTCTCGTCCTCTGCCCAGGCGCGGTCGTAGGTCTTCTGGAACATGTATCCAAAGCCCCAGATGATCATAATGGTCGCGAAAAGCACACCCCACGCAGCCTTAGCACGAGTGGTACGGCGGACGCCCTTGATGTCGAGCGCGTATCCAAAGACATAGGCACCAACGATCTGCATGATGTAGTAGACCACGCCGTTGAGCGCTCGAGTACGGACGTTGAAGTACGCAGCGTTGATCTCGGTGAAGTGGTAGGTGTAGAACCAGTTGGATGCCAGGAACATGGGGAAAAGAAGGATGATGTACGGGTCGGTGAAGAAGGTTTGGTAGAGACCAACGATTTCTGACTTCCACGACGGGTGCTTCATGACGATGACTTTGGATCCATCATCGCGAATGACGTCCTTCGCGTCGACAAGGGTCCATGAGAGGGCAGCGCCGAGGATCGTGAGAACAAGGAAGCCGACGTAGGTGCCGTCATTGACTGTGCCGGCAGTCTTGGTGTTGATGTTCTGACCCAGCGGAATCTGGTAGAGTTAGCGTGTAGTTCTCAACTAGACTTCTCAGGGTCTCAAAGTAAAGTAAACATACCAAACTGCCGATAACAGCGCCAAGATTGAAGATCATCCAGAACCACGAAATGTAGCGACCCTTGGAATCCTCTGGCGGGTACGACTGCAGAGGTACCAAGTCAGTATATGTCTCACATGCACTTCGTGCAGTCAAAACTTACCATCATGATGGCGCCCTGCGCACACCATAGCAGACCCGCGCATACACCGAGGAGTGCACCGGCAAAGGTGGTGAAGCCCAAGTTCTGAGTGTGGTTATAACACAGGTACGAGGCAACGTAGATGGAGTATCCGACGCCTCCAAAAGACAGAGCAGTGCGAATGCCAAGCTTGTTGGTAAAGGTGCCGGCAAAGAAGCCGACCACAGCAAAGGTCGAGTACAAAGCCGTGTTGGCCCGGTTGTTGGCAGTCGGGTCAAGTTGACCGCCACCACCCATGCCGTTCAGAGCATTGAACATGCCCGGGCACATGAAGCAGACGAAGGAGACAATGACGAGCTGGACGGGTGGTGACGCGAACCATGGCAGCTTGAAACCGAGAACGGTGAAGCGTCTGTATTTCCACGAGGCAGGGAGCTCATTTGAGTTGGTGTCAGTCAATGAATGCTCTGGAGAGTTGACCGCGTGCGGAGGCTGTTTTTCCTCGGTGGTCGCCATGTTGATGCCCGTGAGTGTGGGTGTTGTGCCGGCGATTAGCGCGCGATTCGGAGTTGAACTTCGCGACAGACGGATATGTGCACGTCGTCGTTGGTGCAGAAGGTGAGAGCAGACAGGCTACAATAAAGATACTAGATGCTCGCGCTCAGACCACACGACGGTAGCAGCAGACTATAATTAAACGAGGGTTTGGATACGAAGGTGAAGGCGAGGGGCAGTCAGTTTTAAGCAGACCGTCAGCTAGGGTCCTCACACGGTCCATTCACGACCAAATCTCCCCAGCCAACCTGCATCGGGGTAGCGAGGCGGACACAGCACGCGACACAGCCTGGCCTCCACAAAGAGATAAACGACTGCAAGCCCACACAAAGGTGACAGCCGTCGGTCAAGGATTCGCTGGCGCAGGCTGACACTGCACAAAGGGCAACAAGCATCCGTGTTCCGCAGCGCCAGCCGTATGTACAACGCCGTCAGCAGCCTTGAGCGCCGGCTACAGGTGCCCGGACTGTGGCCGTCAGTGGTTCTCGGGACAGCCATCGAAGGTCAAAGCGGGGCGTTGCAGGCCTGCTTATCGACGATGCATGGATCTGCATGCGCCTGCGACCACATTGTTGGTTGAGCCCCCGGTCCTGGGCTGAGTGGGCTGCGCGAGCTAGAAGACGCCCACTAGAGCCACAAGTGCAACGCTCTCCGCCCGCCACCACCCGAGTCAGAAATGTAACATTGTCCTTTTGCGACTCCATCAGCACCAAGGCCTTATCAGTGACGCCTGCTATCGTGATGTTCGTTGCTGGCTGCCCGTGACGGCTAGTTTGCGGCCCACGCCCGGCTCAGTTCCCACTGCTATCACACGCGACGGTGATGACCACGCCCCGCCATGCTCCTGTAACATTGCACATGGCAGTGAACTGGGGTCCACGGCCCAAGGTGGTGCAGATAGGCGCGTTGTACCACTACGTTCACCCTCCACCGTCCATTGCATGACGCACAGCGACCATGCGGACCGATACAGAGAGCGCTGCAGAGAACGTGTTCAGATGCGGAAAGTTTGGCCGTTGTCATTTCGGTGAAGAGACGTTGGATGGTGATCGAGCTCACGATCCTACCTTGCCCCAGAATGACGTGAAGCCGTTGAAGTCCTCATAGAAATCGCCCTCATCCCTCTGTAGGAATGACCTTGGACCCCTCACTCCGTACACACTCCTTGCAAGTGGCACAAACAATACATACATCATGTATGAGCATGCACACCTTTGTTTTCTGACACCCGGCTTACCGCTTGTAGGCGGCTAATCATTCGAGACGATCCGAGGGCTGCGTCCCAATACATCGCCGACTATGTCATTGGTGCATTCCTCGCTCCTTCGTTGTGTCTTAATATCGACTAACGCCGCAGCATAGAGCGCATCAACACCTTTGCCCCAACGCCAGAAAGACCCTTTGTCTTAGGTCTGCCTACTGGGAGCAGCCCTGTCCTGATCTACGAGCATCTTGTACAGCGCCACAAAGCGGGCCAAGTCTCCTTCCGCAATGTGGTCACGTTTAATATGGTACGAACTACCGCCCTGCATATGGCGCCGCACCCTTGCGTCCAATGTCTCACAGCAGCGTGATATAGAGTGATACTGACCCAATCAGGACGAGTATGTCGGCATCCCGCGTGATCACCCCGAGAGCTACCACAGCTTTATGTATAAGCACTTCTTCTCCCATGTCGACGTGAAACCCGAGAACATCAATATCCTCAACGGGAACGCACCTGACCTGGAAGTCGAATGCCATGACTACGAAGAGAAGATCCAACGTGCTGGTGGCATCGAGCTGTTCCTCGGCGGCATCGGGCCAGATGGACACATTGCCTTCAACGAGCCTGGTTCCAGCCTCAAGTCTCGGACCCGCGTGAAGACTCTTGCATACGATACCATTCTGGCCAACTCAAGGTTCTTCGGAAACAACCTCGATCAGGTGCCGAAGATGGCATTGACCGTGGGCGTGCAGACTGTTCTTGATGTAAGTCACACCAACATGTCCATCAACAGAGTCTAACGTTCCTCAGGCGCGCGAAGTCGTGATCATCATCACAGGCGCACACAAGGCCCTAGCTCTTCAGCGGTGCATCGAAGGCGGCGTGAACCACATGTGGACGCTGTCCAGTCTCCAGATGCACCCGCACCCGATGATCGTCGTCGACGAAGACGCCACACTGGAGCTGCAAGTCAAGACCGTCAAGGTAAGCCCATCAACACCCTTCTCTTCTAGTCGTCAACTAACACTCTCAGTACTTCAAGAGCATCGAGCGCGTAGGCTCCGAACTAGGCATGCGCCAGAAGCTCCCCAGAAAGCGCGACTCGCTTGTGGACGAGGGGACCCTGCTAGCCCCTGACCAGCCAAACGGTATCAGATTGACTGTGCCGCAAGTTGATCTCTCCCGTTCAGCAAGTCCCGTCCTGGAGCCAATGAGCGCCCGCCTCTCCGACGACGAGGCAAGCGCTTTGCAATTGCGTTCCATGGAATCGGATTTGGACGATGTCGCTGATCAGCCCTCGGTCCGAATGAGCGCTCGCGTCGCTAGCTAGCACCTCTACCACTGTTTCGAACCCGACAGGCTGTGGAAATTGGATGGACGCCGTTTTTTTGTGAATTTGTTTGCTTTTAGGGGAGACCGCTAGACTGGTTCTTGGGTCGGAGACGAGTTTCCTGTTCGAGATGGTGTTGCTGCGAGTGCATTGTGGCACGGTCGTCGGAAGCGTCCAGCAGCCAGGTCTGGTTGCAGCCGCTCAATAGTCTGGCTATAGTTGTTTGTTAGTATAGAAGAATTGCTGCGACGTCATAGAGAAATCTGCGGCGATGATGATTTCAGTGTTGTGCGGACTTGGTCGGGGTAGGCGGCAGCACCATTAGAATGAGTGCTGGGCATCGGATAAGGGAATGGCGTGTTGAATATACTCAAATACAAATTTAGTCTTCAAGTCCAGATGCATTAGTTTGATCCCTTAGAAGGCGTTTATGTGTTCGTGTGTTCGGATGAGTAGATTTACTTAGGTTGACCGTGTGGTAGACGTCGGAGCATGTCACGTACAAACATCGCATTTCGTGGCTGGCTCGTCTCTGTGTGTTGAAGAGAAGGAAACATGTGACAAGAAACGGAAAGTGCGTGCAACTGGCTGTGATGGATTGATGGCAGGCCTAGAACGTCATTGGCGGCGGGTGGGGGCGCGTCATCCCGGTTCAGATCTCCAGATCCCCTCGTACCAAAATAATCCCGCCGCATCCTCCATGTGAAAGCCCACGCGCCGGTAGCCATGTCTTTCGTGGTTGAGTAAGTTGGCGTATTCAATTGATACAGCCGGGTATAGCTAATACTGTGTCAGCCAAGTGCGTCGGATTGACAGCCAGCTCGACCGGCTGCAGCTGTCGGCGACACGACAAGGCAGCTTCTCCATCACCGCCGAGGAAGCCCACGACCCCACCAAGACGACACGAATCGCGCACCTGCAGTACCTCATCAAGTCCCTCTCTACGACCGCGTCATCCAAACACAGCCTTGTCTCCATCGCACGCATATCCGAGACGCTGCAACGTGCCAACATCGCCAGCACCTACGAGGATGCGAGCTACGAACATGAACTGGAATGGCTGCTAGTCAGCAAGGCCACGACACAGGTCTACGGACAGGTCCTGAATACGATACTGGAGCAGACCATACCATTGGAAGACGACCTGTGGTACTGGGATGACATCCTCTCCACCTACCGATTCGCTGGACTATACTCGATACAAACATCGCCGGTTCGGGTGTGGAAATGGTCGCAGGAGATATATCGCGACGTGCGGTCGAGGGGTGGCCAATTGGCTGATGGGTGGAGCCAGTTTTACGGCCTTGTCAAGGATGCGGTGCAAGAGCGCAGCATTGCCAACATCCAGCGAAGGGTCGTGAGCCCGTTGGCGCTGGTCAGGAACGAAGGCAGAAGAAAGCGCGCAGCGTTGAGGAAGATACGGCTCATCAATGCGAACGCGCTCGGTGTGCTTCTAGGCGAAGGGCTGGGTAATGAGAGGTATGTTGCCAAACATCCGCGAAGCGTGAGCGACTGCTGACCATCCCAGTGTACACGACGATGGCACCCAGTCTCCCCCACTGCTCGGCGCACAAAGCGGACATAGATGGAAGAGCGTCATGGCCAAGAACATCGCCCTGATGGACGCCGTCATCCAAAGCGTGAACGCTGCAGAGATATCCGTCAATAAGTTTGACGATTCTGTTGCTGGCATCACGCAAGATGATCAACTCTACTCGCTGCACGAACCCACCGGAGAACGAACGGCAACCACACTCAAGCCAGCGGATGTAGCAGAACGACTTCAGTACCTGCTCCAGGAAGCGTTGCCTGCCTACACCGCAGACTTCAACGCTGTGGTCAAGGAGAACGGACGTCCATCTATCCTCATCCGGTATTGGCTACCTGCCACCATGCTCCTCGTATCCTCGACCACTATCCTGCGTATATTTGTCAACCGGAAAGAAGAGATTCTGGCCTGGGTACGCGAACTAGGACAGACAGTAATCGACTTCTGGACAAATTGGGTCGTGGAGCCTGCAATAAGGATCATTGGTACCATCCGCCACAATGAAGATAGCGAGGTTTCCATCATGAGCAAACGTAGCCTGGAGTCTGACCGCGCAAGCCTTGAGCGCATGGTCATTGACTTTGCGATTAAGAACCCTGAAGGCCCCGCCTTGAACGAGACTCAGATTGCCGATATCAGGGCGAAGGTCCGCGAAGGCGATCTGACTACGGTCTTGAGATCCTACGAGAAGGACATCCAAAGTCCGGTCAAGGGCGCGATAGTCGGTAACCTAGCTAGCGCGCTGCTCATCCAGGTGCAGAAAACCAAGGTTGACGTGGAAGTCGCGATGAGCGGTATTGACAGCATTCTCAAGAGCCAGGAGTTGCTCTTTGGCTTCATCGGTCTGACGCCTGGTGTTCTCGTGAGTATCGGCGTCTACCGATACCTCCGAGGCGTCTTCAGCAGCCGCAAAGGCGTGCAGATGTGGGCGAGGCAAGGTCGCATGCTGCTCATCCTGCGCAACATCGATCGCATCCTTACCAGCGCAACACCCACAGAAGACGGCGAAATTTCCTACAAGGATCACGGTCTCCTGCTATGCGAAGTGCATCTCTTGCGACAGGCTGCGAGTGGCATACTACCCCGACGCATCTTCCACGACTTCCTGGTAGAGATAGATGAGCTTGTTGACGTGAGGAGTGGGTTGCAGCGACAGCAAAAAGTAGTTGAGCGCATTAGGTGGGCGTACTCAAAATGGTTTACTTGAGGGCGTCTTTGCAACTGGGATGATCCAGTCACAGCGCATTTATGATCAGCGTACATACCCACATCAATACATATATACGAAGAAGCTTGTAATTATAGAACCGTGTTCTCAGTAGTTGTAAGCGGGACATGACAGATCAGATGTCTACTATCCAAGACTAGCTCAACAAGTATCGTGTGGGTATGTACCGAGGCGCAAAACAAAACCTGGAAATGAGGCTCTTCAACGCCAGCACATGACCGTGTCTCGTGTGCTGGTTCGTGATGCCGGTAGTGACAGCCGAGTCAAGGCAGATGCGCAGTTGCCACCAAGCCAGCCGCCGCTCGTCACTCGCAGACGACAGCTGCAGTGACGGAGGTGGTGAAGCCCGTGCGGACTATTGGCGCTAACGTCCAACGTTGGCCAGCACCTGTGAACTCGCTCCCACGCCGTTTACTTCGCTGCCTGCTGTTAACCACACAGCAACATTCACCCCAAGCCCGCCTGTTCCCGCGTATACTCTCTATCATCAGGCTCGAGTCTACCACCGCCATTCTTCCGCAACCACGCAACCACCGCCAGCTCCACCGCACACCCCAAACCGGCGGGCGCCAACTCCGCAACCACCTCCGCTCGATAACGCATCCCACGACTCTAGATCAAGATGGCTGGCTCCAGGAATTATGACTTTCTCGTAAGCTTCGCCCTATGCCTCTTTCTGACATGCGCCTGCCCAGCTTCCGCATACATGCTGGACCCTGAACGCCCCTCCACCGCCTATACACAGACCCACACTAACACTCTCCCCCGCGTAGATCAAACTACTCCTCATAGGCGACTCGGGCGTAGGCAAATCGTGCTGCCTGCTGCGCTTCAGCGAAGACTCGTTCACGCCCTCGTTCATCACCACCATCGGCATTGACTTCAAGATCCGCACCATCGAGCTCGACGGCAAGCGCGTGAAGCTGCAGATATGGGATACCGCTGGCCAAGAGCGCTTCCGGACCATTACCACGGCGTACTACAGAGGTGCCATGGGTATCCTGCTAGTTTACGACGTCACGGATGAAAGGAGCTTCAACAGTACGTCCCGCCGCCCACCCACACACCTTCTATCATCCCAGCTTAACAGGCCGGAAGGTCTCAACAAACAAAACACTAACACCACCCAGACATCCGCACATGGTTCTCCAACGTCGAGCAACACGCCACGGAAGGCGTCAACAAGATCCTCATCGGCAACAAGTGCGACTGGGAAGAGAAGCGCGCCGTCTCCACAGAACAGGGCCAGGCCCTCGCCGACGAACTCGGCATCCCCTTCCTCGAGGTCTCGGCCAAGAGCAACATCAACGTCGACCAGGCGTTTTACAGCCTCGCCGGTGACATCAAGAAGCGCCTTATCGATACCGCCAGGACGGATCAGACGGCCGCCCCCAAGGTCGATGTCAGTGGGCAAGGTGACGGAAACGCGGGTATGGGCGGGAAGTGCTGCTAGAAAGGAGTAGTAGTTGGGGGAGAGAGAGGGAATAAGAGGAGATGGACATTTTGGACTGAGATTGTCAGGCACATGGGGAGCAGTGGTTATGCTATGGATGCGAGGGACAGACACGCTACGGCTTTGATCTGATGGAAGCAAAGAGCAAGCTTGGGTCCGAGGGTACGGAAGAGACGATCGCACGAAGACGATGCTTACACGACTGAATATCCGCTCGAGCGAGTCCCTTTTGGGTAGCATCAACCTCTTTTCTTAACGAGTTTGTGTTACAGGCGTTGGTCTTTTTTTTTATCCGGGTTCCAAAGAGAATGGGAGTACCTACCTTTATTTTACAATTACGTATTGTAATGCCAATTGTATATGCACGGAGTCTTGTCTGAGGGGTGTAGGAGTGGGTTATCAACGGGTTTGCGCATGTTGCGTGCGAGAATGGAGTCAGGAAGAACATACTGCGTTGCTAATACCTCATCTAGTAAAACACGAATTAACGATACTAACATACACATCTCCCCGCCCACCCCCACTTTCAAAACGAAACACAACAACACTAGAAGAAAGCACACCACCCAATATACATACTCGCCAAATTCATCGGATCCACCGCCATAGCAATAAGCGCATCAACATAGCCCTCCACACTCAGCGGCACACTCTCCCCCTTGAGATACCCATTCACTTTCGTGCGCGTAATATCCAGCACCTCCTGCGGCGTATCCGGGACGCCAACAATCTTCTTACGACGTTTGCCTCCCAGGAAATCGGCCGTAGGG